TTTATTAGTCGATATTAATTTAAAAGAAAATAGTTAAGATTATAACTAGGTCAGTTTTCACTCTCTATCTATCTATCTATCTTTAGTTACACAGAAAGAACACACTTGGACAACTCCATACAATCGGTATTAGTTTGATCAATTTTGTAAAAATTTAAATGAGTATAACCATGTTTTAACAATTCTAAATATTTTAGGGTATTGATTTTCTAATATATCTTTGAAAAACAAGAAAATATACCGTTTTTGTTCAGCTAATTTTTTCTTCACAATGTAATTATAAAGTTGCTTTTTCATTACAGAATCACCCAATGCACTTTGATATTTTGTGTACAAACGAGAAAGTACACGTGGAACTACAACCAGTGAAGTTGGTCTCAAAATATGAGCATCATCCAGTAGACCATCAATAGATTCTGTTAGAAATCCCGAACAAGCTCCCATAAGAATATGAGAAGACTAAAAAAAATAAATCAGACAATCAATTAACAAGAAAATAATGTTGATAAAATTGACTACCCGAAAAAGATAATTAAAAGTCATTGATTTCTTTCAGTATGGTTTACTTGGATTTTTTCAAAATCATGTAATAATAACTCCAAAAGGTCTAGGAGTAAAGCTTTACAAAACATGAACATGAGAGTTATAATATTCATTTTGCATCAGATAATCGTTGTTACATAATTAGTTAACTTTGGTCGGTAGTGTCATGATAAGTGATGAAGAATGTTTGATTCAAAATGATACAGGGTTAATTGTCCTCAAACGATACAGAATACGACTCATCAGGAATTAGACTAAATACAACAAGAGACATCCTGGTAGGTGGTCTATGCTCCTCCACGAGGGATAACAGAAGTAAGTAAATACCAAGATACAATATTACATATTTCATAAAGGTTGCGATTCAAAGTTCTTTAAGTGAAAAATACTGAACTAATAAAATTCTCACGAAAACAGTACTGAAACAACAACAATAACGAATCAAGCTAAAGTAGATTAAATATGTTTTTCAATGCAGATGAACATTATCTGGAAAATTAAGGAAGACTAGGGGCTACTGAACAGTTTTTTGTCCTTGTTAAGAAAAAACACAGCAAGACACTACAACTGAGCAAACTTCAGTTGTCGAACTTGGGGATTTGACATACAATTACTCATCCTACACTTAACGTCCTCAAAATAAATAAATTCATCACTATAAGATCTCTTATTTTTAAAAAGTTAGAACTTTGAAAACATTGATGTCACTTTCAGTCGATGTCTCAGTTTTCATAAAACCATAGATTGTCCCTAACAGAAATATCCGATAACGTTTTGAATGGAAATGGTTATCTACTAAAATTTATACTGATAATTACCAAAAAGGCATAAAAATAGGACAAAGATGGATAGTGGCTAGCAGTGGAATCCGGGTGGCGCGTTTCTTCCCATTTCGGGACTCATCATCTGGATTTACTTGCATCTCAGAGTTGATGTTTACTCTGGGACTTGAACTCAGTGCCGTTCGCTTCAAACGTCATCGCATGATCTACTTAGCCAGAGTCCAGATATCCACTAACTTGAGTGATGGGGTGAAGTTGAATTCAAACAACCAATATAAAAATGAATTAAAAATAGGACAGTTTACCATTGCTACTTGTTCCATAATATGTGCTAGTGGGAGATATGAGAGATGTACTGAATTAGAAGTGACAATCTGAAATAGAGAATATAAAAGAAAAACAAAATCGACCACTGGATAAGCATTACATTTTGTCTAGTTACACAAGTCTAATCTATTAGGAAGTGCATTATTTCCAGAAAATTCTACTCAAATCAGCCAAAAAAGGATTTTTAACGATCATCATAGGGATATTGTTGAACCAGAAGCGACAAAACCAACTCACATCTTGAATGACTAGTTCCCAAGGCTACATCCAGAAGTCCCATAAGTATCCACGTATTTTACACTTAACCTGTGGTATTGGTTGCTACGTTAAGCCCACATAGCTTATTCTAGCTTCTGGACAGGCTAATTTATCCATTTTTGACTTTGTTAATTATTCGCTTATTACCCTTGACTGTTTTTATGTAAGCAAATGTGTGTGCATTTCTTATCTTACTCATCACATGTCTGTAGCATATTTTTGTCTGACTATAAATATTGATTCACTCTTGGTTCGATTGAGTTGGCTCACACTTCTCCACTGCGCGTCATTTCGCGTCGCCCTCTTATCTTCTCCACTCGTTTTTCTCGATCAACGGTTGTATGAAATATACGTATTCAAAACCTCACTCTCGTATTTGACTAATTTAATCCCATTGTTCACTAACGTGAGTTAAGTCAATGACTATATACGAAGATAACCAGGATGTACATTTTGACAGCAATCATTTGATAACAATCAGAAACTATCTACCTGAATTCAGATCTCGGGCCACTAAAAACCATCCAGTTGGAGCAGGGAATAAATCTTTTGCCTTCTTATATCTTCCTGGTGGTTGAGGTTAAATGAAGAGTCGATTAGAGTTTGGTGCATATTTCGTTATAGTGTATTTGTGTTGCATTTACTCATCGCGTCAACTCTTGCACTGATGTTTAAATTGGTGTAGCCAGCATCAGTTTTAGCGTAAAACATGCTGGATTTTTAGCCTTTTCAATTGATACATATAACACAAACATAAAAATCAATATATCTATCTGAATCGTCGGAGACTATCGACTACCAAAGTGAAACCCACAGAAAAAGCTTAATTGCTTATCACTTTTACTTTACTGATAATATAAGGAATAAGACTGAAACAGCCAGAATATATTAATATCACTGAAACAAGTTACGTTTATTATTAAAGCGTCCAAGATTTGTATATTTGGATAACTAGCGTATTTAAGAAAATCCATTACTAATTAAACAGATAATATGCTAAAATGACACATTGGTTTACCTTGAATTCAGTGGATTCATGAAGCGAAATTGTGGAATGTGTAAGTTCTTTGTGCCTAATCAAAACTCCTTTGGGCAAACCTACATCAACAATAAGGGAGATTTTTAAAAGCGTTTTATTCTTGTATACAACACGAATACCTGACAACATGAAATATTTTGCCCTGATTGTGTCTGCTAAATAATAAAAAACCAAGAACTTTCTTACCAAGCTTAACAAATACAAATCCTTTACGGATTCAGTCAGTTATGTACAGTGTAGGACCTGTCACATATATCATGGTCCGAATTGCTATAGCATAGCAAGATGAAACCATCAAAATGTCATATTAGAAGTGTAGTAGACGCTACTCACAGGATTGTTTGTAAGTAGTATATAGCGGAACGTGGCATCGAATTTGTAACAATTGTCAAACCGAGTGAACAGTTTGCGTACATCGAAAGTGCGGTGTTGACCGAACACTTGGAGACCAAATGAGAAGACAATTCATATGGCAGAACAAACCGACAAACCCTGCTATCGCCTCAAACTGTCTGAGGAGGTAGCTCCCGATGTCTCCGTTTCAAACGGCTCTGGACGCGGCACTTTTATCTTGATCCTGGCAGCGACACCAAAAGTAAAGGCGATAGGCAGGAGGGATATATATCTGTTGTGAGAATTTACCATGTATTAACATTATAAATACACATAGTCTTTAATTGTCCATTTGCATCTTTCGGTGTGTTCTACCAACCCAGAGCTTTCGATGTACGCAAACTCTTCACTCGGTTTGACAATTGCTACAAATTCGATGCCACAATCCTGTGAGTAGCGTCCACTACAGTAGTAGTATCAGTGATAGTGAAAAACACTAAGCGTAAGGAATATATTAGAAAGGGATGAATTTGCTGAATAGAAGGTACAAAATCGTTTTGAAATTCAGGATCTAAGCGACACTAGAGAGTAAACATATATAAACTTACCTCCCATTAAAACTGCTTGAGTATCAATGACTTTAGGTATTGATATCATGTTTTAATTTGGTCGCTCCTAGCTTTCTTCCAATTTACCTGAAGCGTAGACAATAGCCCTCTTGAGGTAGGTGGTGGCTAGGCCTAAATAATACATGTCTTAATCGCCTCAGTAGATGGAGATTCGCTCAGCAGTCGCAAAAATAAGTAAGCAATGCTTCGGAGACGCCTATGGTCAAATAATAGTAACCTAAAAATCTTCGATCGACTTCTAAAACAATTCAGTTTGTACAGAGACAGAACGATCAACTTCTACTGAATTAGTTCCACACTTTCAATAAGGTGGTAGCCTGCATAACCAGATTATTTCTCTAACAACCAGCCCACTTTATGTACTTGCTTTCTATACACTTTGTTCTGACGGCTGTTTTGTATTCAGGCACTCACCCAATTCTGGACTCTATGGAGCGAAAGTTCATTGGTTAAACAGTTACGGACAGAAAAGAATGTTACAGTGATTTATCATTTTATCTGCCAATAGGGATAGATATTGTTAAAAAAAGGGAATCTACTAGAGATAAGTCACTTAGCTTGTTATGATTAGACGGGAAATGATTCCCTTACTGATGTTTAAGCGGAAAAAGGGATTTTAGAAACACTGGTGTTTTGATTAGTAAAGTTAAAAATACATTCAAATTGACAAGCATATCGATATTTCAGTTACTTGAAATACAGTACAAATATATACTTACCAGTACTTCCACTAGTGTAGGAAATCATATAAAGGTCTGTTGGTAACGGGTTCTTTTAAAAGAAAAAGGAATAACTTACAATGTTTTTAAAAATGCAAAGATACATGTTTTCATCATCGATTATTGCAAAACATAACAATCTACGAACATTCCGATTACTAATATTTAATTACTACAGGATAAAAGGAACTGTTGTATTTAATATGCTGTCAATATATATATATATAGGTACATGAGATTGCTTTTACAAATCTACTGGGACAGATGTGTAGGATAACTGATCCCATACCGTAATTCGAAATATGTGAAGACTAGAGATGGATGTTTTATAATGACTACCCAATCCCGAAAATTCTCATAGGAAAGGAACGTCTGTTTGTTCAAACATGCTTTTCATTGCTTTAATATTAGCAGGGTCTGATGGTCTTTCGTGTCTATGAAACCTACAAACCGTACACGTTACATGCGAAAATTGCACTTTTATGCACGAAAAAGGAAGATATATTCAGCTATACATGAAACCATCAGATTAAATTTCATCTCGAAATGCATTTAATTTGTTGCTATGATTATAATATCATCTAAATGAACTGCAGCGCCTGAGGTATCCTATAACATGATGTCTATCATTTGGTGGAATATAGATGGTATGTTTTTCACTTTGAAAGGGTCCGGTTATATCGGAATAAACCTTGTGTGTATTATTGACTAGAAATTCTCTGTATTCTACAGCTACTGGAATTTGTAGGTAAGTTTCTGACAGATCAAAGTTTGCGGAAATTTACCTCCACCTAGCTTGGAGAAAAGATCTCCCAACAAAGGTAAGTGATGCGCTGATGGATTTCTAAAACTTTTCTGAGCACAGTTCAGCAATTGGTTTACAAAAAGATGCTGCAATTGAATTTTTTATCATGACTATTGATGCAGCTCATTCTGAGAAATTTACTGGTTCAATAACACCTTTCTGCATATGTTCTTGCTCACTTTTTGGCACGGTATGTCTGTCGACATAAGTAGTATGCAACACCAATCATAAGTGGAATGCCTAGCAGTAGAAGGTCGAATAGACGGGAACGGGGATGTGAACACAGAGTAATTGTAATAGCAATGAGGGGACGATGAAGTTTGAGACAATTGATGAAGGATTTACAAATGAAGTATTTAATGTATGGTTTCCATATTTTAAGAAAGAACTCTGTGATTTTGTATTAAACAATTAGTTTTCCCCACATGAGTTCTCGTTCACTACAATAGGTTCTACGTTGCGTATGACTGATTGAAGAAATTCAGAGTTGATACCCGACTAGGGTTATTAATACATATTCTAGCAAGTTAATTTATATGCTACACAGAAATCTCGTTCGAATTCAAATACGTAAAAGTCGGGCTTAAGAAATCCAATCTTTATTTACATCAATGTATTTGGTGAAAATCAATTTCATAAATAACACTGAAAACAAAGGTTTGTAAAAGGATTGAATTAATGCACTGCGAAGACTCACTTTTTTCGGTAAAAGTTTATTCAGCCCCAGTTTCTAAAAAATTATAATGTAAAATTTTGTTTATTGAAGTCACGTTGATGATTACAATCACCATAAATTTTCATAGCTGAAACACACTAATTTGTTAAGTATGTATTACAAAGAATCTTAGTGTCTTATACAGAATATAAACTCGACATAAAAAAATTATTAAAAATTCTTATATTAGTTTAATAAAATTCACAAATGCATATACATATTACTGCATATTAGACTAACCCCCAAATGCCCCGATAGGGCTCTCTTATGGCCATGTGCATACAACCTCTGCCAGGGAAGTCCTACTCACTGCTTTTTCGCGACATTAATATTGTTTACGAAATTGAAAGGACGAAGCGATTTTCCGGCACTTTAACCGGGTTGGTGGGCACGAAGGACCCACCTGTAGGAGTTGGAAGACCCTGATTCCAAACTAATGGTGCACATGGGCTTCAGGATCCTGCGGGAAAAAATGGCGTACGAACCAATTACTGGTCACCGGTTACCATGGGACTACATTTCCTGACGTTGTACAACTGCCTTGTGGATCAGACCTTTAGGTCGAAGGCTGCGGGTGTGGCCCCATAAGAAAACCACCTGCTTCGGTCTGGGCACTCGAGTAGTATCACAGCCCATACACAAATCAAGTGACTTGTGTGACGCACATGTATTCGGTGCCTCTTTGTACCAATATTTATGTGTTCAAATAAATATTACAAGAGTAAAGCCTGATGAAAATCCAACTGTGGACGATATTGTTCGTTTATATGTATTTGTTATTCTAATAAATAACTAACACCCCTGGTATAAGCTTCATAGACTGACTTATTTTATTTATTTGGACTTATTAAGGTGACAGTTTATTAAACTTCAAATTAAACCATAAAAAGTACACTACAAGCTGGTCTATATTAGTGTGGAACTTATAAAATCAGAAAGTGGGGATTTTATAACCTAATGGAATATATCACTATCTCATAACTAACTGTTCTGGCAAATTTTGTTCTTTCCCATATGTTTTCCACTATTGTTGATGGCTGAAACTTCACTCGGATTTTTTGTTGTCAGTCTCCTCCCACCGTGTTAATATGGAGTGTGAACATTCGGAATGAAACACAATCGTGTCATGTCCTATGTCAATGATACCAACCGCAATAAATAATACCTTATGAGGGATATATGAAGTTTGTTTAGATAGTAAATAGTTTAGATCACAAATTGACTTAAGGTTGACAACCATTGAAGACCATGGAGTAATGAAACGCTATTTCATTTCAGTACAAGACTCCTCAGAGGTGGGCGATCTAGACTTCCACTCACTACCTCGGAGTAGATACAGGAATTCCAGGCTACGCGGTGGGTATATTACTTTAGACAAACGATTATTGAATATTACATTTCATATCACGGGTCGCAATAAAGACTGATATATAGTTTCACTCTGCCATGATGAGTGTCAAGAACACGGTGAGGTTTATAATTACATGTATGCACCCGAAAACTCCCAACCGTTGCACTGGTGTTGTCCAATGAGGCACGAAAATCACTTGTAGGATGGGAATCTCATGGATTCGATATCCTCAAAGCATCTCTCGAAAAAAAGGAAGGGATCACAATCAATGTTATCCAGTGTTATGCATCCACCAATGATAGCAATGAAGATGATGGTGTTTTATGAGAGGCTGCAGTCGATCGTGGGGAAGTGCCCAGGAAAGGAGCTGACCATCGTGATTGGAGACCTAAACGCCAAGGTCAGAATGCACAACACTGAGTGTAAAGATATCATGGGACGACATGGAGTGACTGGGAAAAAGAAACGAGAATGGTTGAGAGGTTTGTAAATTTACGTGCCTTCAACAAAATGGTTATAGGTGGGAGGCCTATGCTTCTTCATGAGGGGTGACCGGCGTAAGCAATTAAGTAAAAATACATAATAAATGGAGTGTAGAAAGTCAGGTAAATGATAAGAGATGTATAGTTCAATGGAAGGTATCACCATTTCGTAACTAACTAGTCTGGAAAATTCTTTTCTTTCGCACGAGTAAAAAATGTATTGGCATGTATGTACTAATTACCATTAATTCTTCAAACAAGTAAATTGAAACTTTCGAACTATAACGAGATTTAACTTCTTCAAATTTAGAATCATTTGCAATAATAATTAAAATTTCAAGGGAAGATTCAAATTTGTCCATTAAATGAAGAGCTTCACGTCCTGAAGCACACAGCACGCAGTTCATTTTCGCTAAAATTTAAGTAGAATAAGGATTGATTAAAAATTTATGATTTTTTATATCTTTCTTAGCTTGACTACAACATTTTCAATTGAAAATCTGTTACGGTAAGGTAATTTGAAAAAGTACCATTTTGTTAAGGATAGTGTATTACACCCTCCTAAAACTAACGTATTTACTTGAAATAATTTATCATATATTCGGTTTTGCATTTCTGGATACTACTAGCAACAGTGAAAACAGCCACAAAAATGTATGGAACCCAGTTAAAACAGATACCTTCATAAATACAATGGATAAATATCGAATTTCACTGAAATTCGATTAACTGTCGTACTAATCATGCGATACGTTTAATGCAAAACGCAGTCACATACAGACAAATTATTTAGTAAAATATACTATACTAAAAAAAGGTGAAAATTAGGTAAATGATATCCAAAACAAACTCACTTTGCGATAGAATATGTTGCAAAGCTTCATCACCGAGAGTTGGATACAAAGGTACTATGGTATAAGAATATGCTGCACATGCATGCTGCATAATAACCCACTGGATAGTAGAAGAAATAGTTGAGTTTAATGAGCTGTGCAACTAGTAATAATTATAATTGAATAGGTATAAAATAGAATAACGCAAATATATGGATTGTTGGGTAAAAGTTGTTTTCTTCAACAAACATATTTGTTTATAAGATAGGTAGCGCCTGATTAAGGTGAGGGGAGGATTAGACCCACATTATTGATGTCTCACACCTTTAATTACTTATCAAACTGAACAGAGATGTGTGTGAATAATCGATTAGAGTATGCGAGTAACAAAAAGAGATGAAGGTGAATAGAAGTAAAAATGAGGAATAATTAGTAAGATCATCTATAAGGTTTTCTTTAGCCAAGAAGAAGATAGAGGTGTCAAGACTATGGTTTTGGGTACGGATTCCTTACTGAATTCCATCATACCACACCAAAAATTAGGATATCATCGGTTAAAAAAGAGGTGGAAGGAGACAGGAGTACATTAACCTAAATATTATTTACCATTTAAGTGTTTGTAAGCAGTAACTATCATAACGATCAAAATTGAAGAGTAAAACTTCGCAAATGATCTGGCTGTTCTATCTCACACGCAACAACAAATACAGGAGAAGACGACCAGTAACCAGTGTAGCAGCAGTAGGTCTCAACATACATAAAGGGAAAATCAAGATAAAACACAACATGCACCAATCCAATCACATTTGACGGTGAAGCTTTGGGGGATGTAAAAACCTTTACATATCTGGGCAGCATCATTGATGAAAACGGCAGATCTGATGCATATGTGAAGGCGCGGATCGGCAAAGCAAGAGCAACATATCTACAATTGAAGAACATCTAGAACTCAAAACAACTGTCAACCAACACTAAAGTCAGAATTTTCAACACAAATGTCAAGACAGTTCTACTGTATGGGGTGGAAACTTGGAGGACAACGAAAGCCATCATCCAGAAGATACAAGTGTTTATTTACAGGTGTTTACATAAAATAATTCAGATCCGTTGGCCATACACTATCAGCAACAACCTACTGTGGAACAGAACATACCAGATTCCAGTGGAGGAAAAAATCAAGAAGCATTGGAAGTGGATAGGACATACATTGAAGAAAGCACCCAACTGCGTCACAAGGTAAGCCCCCACTTTGAATCCTCAAAGCCAAAGAACACATTACGTCGAGAGATTGAGACAGACATGAGAAGAACGAACAACAATTGGATAGAACTGGAAAGGAAGGTTCAGGACAGAGTGGGTTGAAGAATGCTGGTCGGCGGCCTATGCTCCGCTGGGAGTAACGGGCATAAGTATGTAAGTGATGAAAAACGATGAAAAAACGTATGTGTAGAACAAGTATACTAGATATATTTATTCTTTAAGTAATCTAAAGGAATATAATCCATGACTTGTGATGCAACAATAAGGTCTCACCAATCGGATATCTCACTTTTGACGATCACGGTCTGGGCACCAGGACAGTATCACAGCCCACACATAAATCAAGTTACTTGTGTGGCGCGTATGTATTCAGTGCCCCTTTTACCAATATTTATGTGTTCAAATAAATAAATAAACGAATTACATACCATATCTCATTGGTACAGACACTGAGAACACTTCAACGATTAATTAATTCACAAAGTAATGTGTATTTCAAAATTGAATAACTTTCAGATTTACCTCTGGTGAATTTGGTGCATAAATCCCGACAAAATTTTCACAGTCATGTTTAAGTTTCACAATTTCTGAGAGTGCCGACCCGATAGCCCTTATTCGCTCATCAACCTGAAAAAATATACACTTCAGTTGGGACTATTTACTTCATCATAAGTTAGCCACGAGTATGGATCATTGAAAGACGGTCGTTTCCCCAGACACCGATTAGACCCTGTATTTGAAGGAGTTTCAAATAGAGCATTAAAAACTAATAAGTCGATAAGAGACATCTACAAAGCTTTTTATTGTGATCACAAGAAGTGCAGTAAACCTAATACATGATAACATGCGAAAAAAAACTCACAAATTACAAATTAACTGCTGACCCAGTAAACCACGTGAGTTAACAGTTTTAATTCACGATAATACAAATAACCCTCATTTTCAGTGGCGACCATAAAATAAACAGTATTTCAAGCAACAAAGTACTGTTTAATCACCCTAAAACAACATTCAGGATTTTATAGTTCAATAACAGAAAAAGTACATAATGTCCTTCCCTGCCTTCTTAGTGAAGAACATAACAAACAGTCAGAAACTTCAATAGGAAAAAATTATAGGATTTCACTGCTCTAAATAAAGAGTAAAATCCTAAAGAAGTTAAGCTTTTTGACGTTGTAAATATATTGGAATAATAATTTTCAGTTTGTGAGTACACTTTGTAAAGCTTACACTGAAGCTAGTCTAGAATAAAACAATGATTTATGCCTACAGCATAATGCTGCCAGTGTTAAGCACTTATACTGCCTTGATTCAGCTACGATAAAGAGCATTTCATGCCTATTAGTCATATATTTTGAACACGCATCACATACTCATTTCACGCCATCTGGTCACATTCAACTCCTTTGTATTGAGAATATACTTACTTACTTGGACCTGTTACCCCACGTGAAGGAGCATAGGCCACACACCAGATTTCTCTATCCAACTTTGTCCTGTGCAATCCTTTCCATTTGCTATTCATGCTTTCCATGTCCGCTCCCAATTATCAACGCAGTGAGTTCTTCGGTTTTCCTCTTTTCCGTTTCCCTTCAGCATTCCAAGTTGACGCTTGCCTCGTGATACAGTTTGATGATTACCTCAATGTGTGTCCTATCCACTTCCAACGTCTTTTCCTAATTTCCTCTTCAGCTGGAAGCTGGTTTTTCCTCTCCTACAGAAGGCTGTTTCTGATGATATCTTGTCAATGGATGTTGAGTATCTTGCGTAGACAACTGTTTATAAATACTTTTGTACTTTTTTATGATGGTTGTGATAGTTCTCGAAGTTTCAGCTCCGTACAGTGGGACTGTCATGACGTTCGTATTGAAAATTGTGATTTTGATATTGGTTGACAGATGCTTTGAGTTCCATATGTTCCTCAATTACAGAAGTGCTGGCTAGTGCTTATTTTATATTTTTCTATTTGTCCTCCATAGTAGTTTCTTCTTTTTTGAGATCTTGTAAAGCTTGGAACTTTTTGTTGAGATCTATCTTGAATTCCCGGAGTATTCCGAATATACAAAGCTATTAATTATACATCTTGTGTACAGTAAAAATGCCAGATAATTGAAAGTCCAAATCAAGTTGTGGTTTAACCTCACGATTTTTCGATCTTATACATGGAAATGTATTCCCACCACTTAATACAGCAGAAAACGTTTAAAGCTTTGATTTTGTTTTGTTTTCGTTATCTGATAGCATGGGACACAACTTAGCACAGAATCCCGAAAAACGTTTTATTTTCCAACCCCTAGATATAATGAACCAAACAAATAAAATGTAGGAACTTACAATAAATACACTAACATGAGTTAAGGCACCATTTGATAGCATGTATAAAAAATTCATGAGATAATACTAGAAAATATGGTATTCATCTTAGTTTGTCTAAACAATCATCGTTTTTCGAAACATATTCGCTCATATAAACCCATCAAATTTCAACTAGCAGCAACAAAGGGAACAGGGGAATTTTAGAAGTCTTTGTACTCAAATCATTCACGAATTATTGGGAATGGTGAAATTCACCTGAGCTATCAAATGATGGAAAATACAATAACCACATGGAAAATAGTTACGATAAATTGTTGGCTGTTTGTGAACCGATTCTAAAAAGTCACTTCTTTTAGGATTAAATGCTGGTGACGTTGTCTCGAAAGACAATCAAAAATTCACAAGTAAACCACCTGGTTGAAATAAACGAGAACAACAAACACAATAACAAATAACAAAGTTCTACTTAGCAGTTGATTATTCAACCAGATCTATTTCGCGAATCCAAGTTTATCGTGAACAGACAACAATAAACAAATAGTTAGTGTGAATGGACGAACTTACTCGAATTATTTAAACCATATTCAAAAATGTCTTTGACTGTTTGTACACGAGATTCGTCAGTGAACTTTTGAGCAATTGGAGATTTTCGTGCACCAGTCTAAAATTACCGGACAAATTAGTCAATGAATATGAAAAATAATTTTTGAAATCAATTCATAAAATAGTAATAGAAAGAAAATTCGTCGGTCACAGCATAATATGTACCAAACAGTTTTTCACAAGTTTTGAAGAAATTGAGAGGATTAAAATCTTGCCAAATCAGTTATTTGTAAATGAAAAATTAATTGACTGAAGTTGAACTAACTCGTCTACCAGGTTCTTGGGTATGAACAACACTAAGTGTGAAGCCTAATGAAACTTCTTGACTGCCCAAACCAAAACTGCAAATAATGGTGTATGAAGCTAACCACGTATCAGTACGTACATAATAGTATATCAAATTGAGAAATTTAAGCATTCCTAATGTATTTAGCACGTATGATATGGCCAATATAATGATAAGTAAAGAATGATAATCAGCTTATACTGAGCTGACTAAGGTTTATGCCCTAATAAAACTTCACATTTTTATCCAAGGCTATACTTCACTTCCGAATTACCCACTCAGCGGTTCGATATCATGCGACCTACGATTTGCAGACATTTGTCGTCGAATAATTATAAGAACTCAGTCAGTCAGTCAGTCAGCTGCAACGTAGGACCAGGCACGTATATGCATCGGTCCAAGTTGCCATACCGCATTAGCACAACAAGATCAACACCGGATTCATAGAAGTAGTTAATTCAGTGGTGGTAATATATAGAAGAAAGATTGTGTATAAGGAGATAGTACAGGAAGAAAGAATTAGTTCCTAGACAGATATGAAGCGATTTTAATCTCTTAATTTAAGGAAGACAGAGAGTGTATACACCGACGCCATTGTGATCGATTCTGAGCCATGTCACCAAGAGTCTCCAACCATTGGTTACGATAGTCACGCGGACCCCAACCAGGCAGTCTGAATCTCCCAACATGGCTCAGCCCAGAAGTTAGTGACTTCAAGCACTGATGCCACGTTTTGGTTTGGCCGCCCCTAACTTTCTTCCAATTATCCCCTGCACTAGTCAGCATTGCGTGTCGTGGTAATCGGTGTTCAGGCATACATAACACGTGACTCAACCATCTCAGTTGATGAAGATTCATAACCTCATCAACTGATTTACTATCATACCCTAATGCCCTACATCTAACCTCAATATTACTTACGCGGTGATCCCAGCAGATGGGATCAATATTTCTAGGACATCTGTGATCAAATACTAGTAGCTTACGAATATCTTCTACTCTTAAAGGCCATGTTTCGCAGCCGTATAGAAGGAACGGAACGAACTGCCGCACAGTATACTCGTCCCTTAATTGATAGACGGATATCTCGCCTTCGCCATAGATGACGTAAGTTGGCAAAGGCCAAGCGAGCTTTTCGAATCCGTGCTGAGATTTCGTCAGACACCAACCCATTAGGGCTGATCAGACTTCCAAGATAAGTGAAGTTGTCGATGCGTTCGACTGCGTTACTCACTATCCTTAGTTCAAGTGTTGACGCAGACCAGTCCTGAAGCAACAATTTACATTTAGAGGGGGAGAAACATATCTCAAATATCCTGGCATTGTTGCTCAGTGCAACCAGTAGACTCTGCATTTAATCAGCGTCTTTGACAGACAGGACTATGTCATCTGTGTATTCTAAGTCGATAAGTGGACATTCTGGAAAGCGATTAATTCATGAAAATTCAGTCGACGAGAACGATATTTCCATCAGTAGATCTATGATGGAATTGAATAAAAATGGAAATAGTGGACAGTTATGCCGGACATCACTTAAGGTTGCAAAATCAGATGACAGTTCGCCATAAGCTCTGACCCGACTAGTAGTGTTCGAGTAAAGAGCCTTCATAAGGTTTATCTACTTCTGAGGTACACCTTTCATTGACAAACACTGCCACAGAGCCTCTCGGTCTACAGAGTCAAATGCAGATTTTAAGTCAAGAGAAACTATCGTCGTCGGACGCCGATAAGTATGCCTGTGTTCTAGAACCTGACGAATGGTGAATATGTGGTCGATGCAACCACGACCAGGTCTGAAGCCAGCCTGATTTTCACGTGTTTGCAGTTCACGAGTCTTAGTTAGGCGTCCGAAAATTATCGAAGCTAGTATTTTAGATACTATATTAGTCAAACTAATCCCTCTGTGGTTGTCACAGGATGATTTTGACCCTTTCTTAAATATTGGGACGATAAGTGATTGTGACCAGTTAGATGGGATAACGTCTAACTCCCAGATTTTAGCTAAAATATTAGTCAACCTTATCGCTAAAACTAGACCACCATCCTTAAAGACCTCTGGGGCCAATCCATCTGGACCAGCTGCCCTTCCTCGTTTCAGATTAGCTATAGCCTTTTGAACTTCAGCTAGAGTTGGGGGACCTACTTCAATGTTCCATTCACACTGTCTGGGAATAGAGGGTAGTTGTAGAGTAGCTGAAGGCCAGCTAAACTGCTCCTTAAAGTGTTCCGCCCATCGTTCTAAGCGTCTGGACTGGGAGCAGATGAGAGTGTCGTCTTTTTCCGAAATAGTCTGACTTACACTTGATTTATTAATTCCAGTTTCTTTTATTAGTCTGTAGAGTTGTCTTGTGTTCCCTATAGCCGCCGCCTTTTCCATCTCTTTTGCTTTCGTTGCCCACCACTGCTCACGATCATTCCTTAGACTTTTGCTTAACCTAGATTTGATTTCTTTACGCTCTTCATCGTATTCAAAACCTGATGGGATGAGTTTGCGAGAATCTATCAGTGCTATAGACCTTGACGAAATCCATTGGTTTTTTGTAACCATTTGGTTTAAATCACTGGTAGATGTCACTGCTGTTTCCACAGCTGCTTGTATAACTTTCCAAGCAACATCTGGGTCAGTCTCGTTTTCAGAACTACCTAAGTGTGACCTCAGTTGTTCCTGGAACCTACTTTTGGCTTTCTCATTACTCAATTCGGTTCTAATGAGTCTTTTTTGTGTGGCTCTTTTGCGTCCAGTGAGGCGTAAGCAGATGTGTGCTCGTATTAGGGCATGATCAGAGTCTGAACATGTATTCCAGAACGAGTGGTAGCCTTCTATCGAGCCTCTCTAACAGTGACTGGTGGCAATATGATCTATTTGAGTCCATCGTTGGTTTGGTGCAGGGGGTCGCCATGTTAGACGATGTCTCTCCTTATGCTTAAAATTTGTGTTTGCTAAAAATAAACGATTGTCTGAGCACAGTTGCAGCAGACGATCACCATTATCTGTTCGCTGAGTCGGAATACCAAAATACCCACCTAAATGTCTTTCTGTTTGGTTTAAGCTATCTACTTGGGTATGTAAGTCACCTGCTACAAGTACTATGTCTGAGCGTTTAGCTTTCTGAAGAAGTTCAGAAATCTTTCTGTAACAGCCATCTTTAACTTCATCCGAACTGCAGTCAGTGGGAGCGTAGGTAGAAATGACCAAAAGGCAACGACGTGTGTCCATATCTTTCTGAATTCTTACGGAGCCGTTTAGCCGAACAGCGCATAGACGACTGTTAACGGGGATCCACTCTAATAGCGCTTGTTCCGCCCTCATGCTAAGTGCTATGCCTACACCTGCCAGTCCACGAGAACTAGCCATCGGGTCGCCAGATACACGGAGGGTGTATCTCGTTGGCTCTCCGTTTTGCCGAGGTGAGGTCAAGTGAATGACCACACTAGGATCCTGTATGCGTGTTTCGGAGACACAGCATACATCAATCGTAAGAGATTCTAAGGTTTTAGCCAAGGAAGCCTGCTGACCGATTTGGCATAGTGTGCGTACGTTGAAGGCTCCAATGTATAGTTTGGAGCGAGGTTTCAGTAGACCTGGGACAGTGTTTTGAGCACTAGAATCGTTGGCTGTGGTGACACTTGAGGAGGAAGCTAAAAGAGGAAGTTTAGTGTATAAAGTCGATGTAGGAGGAATAATAGGAATTGAAGAGGGAGGTTGATTACGAATACAGTGGTCTTGAGTGCTGTTAGAGGTATGAGGGCGGTTATCACTTCCCGGTTGCCCACACCGTGGAAGGGTTCTTCTGGAGGTACCTGAAAAGGAAATTGGATTAGAGTTGGTCATAGTGACCTGAGAGCGTGACCGCAGTGCCCAAGGGACAGCTGCTTGAGGTCGGTCACACACGACCTTTTTATGAGTGATTTTTGTGTTAGCTCCGTACTTGTTGAGTCCTTACCGCCGGAGACGGATATCCGTGGGATAAGGCGAGGTGTGCATTTTTAGGGTCGACCTTTTCTAACCCCACCCCTCCTTGTGGGAAGGCAGCATCGCTGTCATGCTGGTTGTCTGAAGGAAACACCTTACTGCTGTCACACCTCTGTACAGTCAGCAGTACGACTTCGCCTTCGGACCTTGGTTTTGTTGCTTTTAGTCTTACCGCTCTTCAACCGACCTGTCTGGCATGGTAGGACCTTGAGGAACGGTTGTTCCAGCCAGTATAGCTCAGTTGCTTCATCACGATAGGCAAGCCCGACCACCACGTCAAGGTAGCAACAACGGTCAGGAATTATAAGAACTGATATCTCGTGAAAATTGTCTGAAGATTGTGAACTCATCAAAAAACAAAAGAATCATGCAACAATATAACAAAGAACTCTACAGCTAATAAACGTCGCACCAAATAATACCTAGTTATTGTTGGGGGCATCCAGAAACTTCCTCAAAAATGACAAAAAGGGTTCTGTAAACGTTGAGAAACATCTTATCCAATCAGTATTCGATATAAGTTTTGCCAGAAACATCTAGAAAGTGACAAGTCACATGTCGCGTTTTCGCATGGATGGTTACATATACTTCTATGTTTAGTAGCGTTCCAGAAATTTTCGGAAGCCCAATGCCATCAAAAATACTACAAATACCCTAGATTTTCTGTACATAAACGAACCTTTAAAGTAAAGCGTTTCCGCCTATATTTCGCGCCTTTTCTCTCACGTACAAGTTGCTGTAAAGATTTAGCCTGGGGGTTACTAGAGAGCTTAGGTAACCGAATCTAGCGTTCAATTAGAAGACTTATCAGTTATCTGATACGTTAATCTGGTGTAATGACTTACAAGCAACTATAATTTAGTAGTCAATCATCAGTTCATATGTACTACAGAAAATAGAACATTTTATTTTTTTAAAAATCTCAGTTATTACTTTACAAGAGATCCTATTTTTCTCCCCAAGATAGACTTTTAAATTAAAAGTCCCCTTCATTACAGATCATTTTGGTGGAATAAGTGGTCACTAAGATTAATAATTAAGTCATACTCTTGAGGCCTAGCTAAGAGATCGTTTAACGTGAATATGTTCGCTTTTCATAGCTATATCTTACGTTTGCTCCTATTAACGACCCATGAGTTGACTGGGTTGTTCACTTTATTTAATGACACTACCTACATTAGATGCCTATAAAACCTTTTAAAAATACATCTCATTGAAGATACTCTGACCAAGTTGGGTTGAATAATATGATAAAAGGAGTAGATTTAGAAGCTCAAGTACTTGAATGTCAGTCACTTTGACATAGTAGATGCATGTTGGGTTGTTGATAATGTTTAAATAACTATTAATCATGTTTGGACAAGGTTTAAAATCAGTCTCTGTATCAGACAACAATTCATACCTTTATTCTAAACACCACGCCTAATACTATTTCGTTTATCTTAATCCTCAATTACATTCTTTTTTCGACGTGTTCACTCGTCGATTTGAGTTTTTCGCTATTGTCGATTACTGAGATTTTGACTGCATTGCTTTTCCTTTTGGTAATCTCTTCTTAATGTGTTGTTATCAGATGTAGTAATTCAAAGCGGTACTGTATTATTTACATTCATCACTGAATAATTATTTAACACAAAATATATGAGTCGATTAAACACTACACTTCTAGAAAACGACGGATAAAATGGTTGCTTGAGTGATTAACAACTCACTTTAGGATCGGATATTATTGACTGCTGATTTAAATGCACACTAATAAACGATCTTGAACGATCTATTGGGGAATATTTTTCATAGAAATTTGGATAGGTTGACCGTTTATCTTTGAAAGTAGAAACAAACAAAACAGAAGATAACTAGGAGCGTCTGAAATTTGTAAATTATGATTTATATAATAATCACGATACCTAGCGATGTGGCTAGT